TGGATGAATGCGTGATTCGGAACAAAGTATCCATATGTTTCTCGAGGCTAAATCATGTCAGTACTGTCCTCGGCTAATGTTATTCTTAAACTTACGTCAAATCATCAGTCTTTGTAAATGGGAATGCACGATTGACACCGGTCAGAACAGCAGAGATCATCTTCTCTGTTGTCTCCTCACTTGCCTGCTTTGCTTCCTCTTCTGCTGTCAACTTTTCCTTTGCCTTCTTTCCCATAGCACCTCCACCTCCTTGAATCTCTCCTTTCTTATTGAGTTTAGGACCTGTAGGTGCGATAACTTCGGGCTTTTTCAGAAGAGATACGAAAAGTCCAAAGTATATGCTCAAAAGCTTCTTCGCAACACCTTCCTCCTTGGAACTGAGAATCGTCTGATTAAGAGTATTGATGGCGTAGTATTTAGCGTGCGAACTCTGTCCGGGTCTCAATATAAGTTCGTTCTCAATTGAGTTGATAATGATCTCTTTCATCGCAGGATGAGAGGTTTGAAGTTGCATCAGTAGATATGATGATCGTGAAGCAATCTTCTTATCTGGATCTCCAAGTTTGTTGACCAAGAGTCGAAGTAAATTGGATTCTTGTTCTGGCTTATCCTTTAATAGTTCGTAGACGTACATAACAGCTCTTGAACGAGCATATTCTACCTCGTCGCTACACCAAACTTCCAGAATCTTGAGCATATCAAAATATGATTCCTTGAGCCAATCTTCATATGCCCATGAAATGAGATGTGCTTTGGTCATGTTTCCTGGTAGTGGTTGTCCGGATTTCCAAACACCAGTATCGCTTGCTTGCAATGTACCAAGAAGTCCAGGTTGTGAAGCAAATGTACGAAGACGTCTATCCGCAGGAAGTACGACACCAGCTCCGAGCAAATCCTTCATGGCTCCCAATGCTGTAACGGCTTGTCCTCTACTTCTTTTCTTTGCCAGATCCAATAAACTTTCGAACGATCTTGTAGTGTGAACTGGGGATTCTTGAACAACCAAAGTTAATGCGGAAATTTTATCGGATAATGTACCGGAGGACATAATAGTAGCAAGGAAACGATGTGAAGAAGTCGCAGAAAGATGTTTCGAGGCATATAGAGTACTGTCAGCTTCAAGAAGAGCTTTGGCATATTCGTTCAGGTTATTGATTGAGGATCGGTATGGTCCTGTCTCGCTGAAGTCTCCCGCTGGAAGGACGGGGAGTTCTGCTGCGTGCCAGTCTGGTCGCGCTTCAAAATTCTATAATCGGTCAGTGGACTCAAAACAAAGGTAAGGAGTTACAAACCAGGCGGTTTTGATCCTTTGCAGATTCTTTGACTTGACTGGCCGTGGATTTCTCTGCCACTTTGGGAGTCTTTGAAGATTCTTTGACTTTGATCGCACTTTTCTCTGGAACTTTGGGCGCCTCTTCTGGTTCACTGGATTCCGATTCCGATTGTAAGGCCTCGTCCCGCCAATCATCAGCATCTACCTCCTCATCCTCCTCATCTGCTTCTGCTTCTGGAGCTTGTCCTTCAATTCCAAGACCTGCTACAAATTTGGCAAACTCATTTTTGAAGTCCTTGTCTGTGGATTTAGGTGTTGGTGTTATTTCGTTCTCGGAATCGGATTGTGCATCGAGTACAAGATCTAAATCTTCCTCTGTTCCTCCTAATGCCAATATTTCTTGTAACAAAACTTCTTTTTCATTTCCTCCTGATTTGGGCGCTTTATTGACTGGACGATCTTGATCCTCCTTATTGGTGTCGCGCTTCCGTTTCTTATTGTTTGACACCATTTTTTGCAATCAAAGTAATTCAATTGGAATGATGGTGGTTAAAGAATCGAGGGGTGTTTAAATTATTTTTGATCAAAGTTGCGACGCCCTTGGAAGTTCTTGCTTCGAAAAAAAAGTTTGTTTCACCGCCTTTCATTCTGCCGCTCGACTGAAGGGACAAAGATTTTCCGATCACAGGAAAGCTGTGAGTTGGAGCTTTTCATTGGCTTGGTAATTTGATGGTCAATGTGAACAAAAACGCAACTCGAAAGATATATATATGATAGGAATGAAAATATAGTGTTTCGGCCTTCTTCACATCCCAACAGTTCGTTCGAACTCGTTCTGAACGTAGGACGTAGGACTGGGAAGTACTTCAAGATGCAGTCCCTACGAGGTATTTCGCGGTTTGGAGGATTCACAACGAACACCTGGGGCTTGTGTCGGCGTACAGCGCTTTTATCACAATCTTTCAAGCTTTCATATTCTCAAACGCAATCAAAAATTTCTACAATTGTATGTTCAGAGTCATCATGGAAATATCCTTTAATCACGTGGGTACATCATTGATTAATTGGTATGTTAGAATGATGATAGGCCAAGATTATCCAAGTTCTGGATACCTACTGGTGGTATAGCTGCAAGCGCAGACGAAGGTAAAATTCAAACTAGATATTTCCATCGAACTCGGGGAAACTAAATTGGGATAGATTCTCATGCAAAACTTATTCGAGGAGGGTTTCTACGTCAGGTACGTTGTCAAGTCATTCCTTTTCACTCATAAGGGCATGCTCTCACACAGCATGGCTAGGCTCATACAGGTATCTTTCATATGTTACCACTGGGAAGAAGAGTACAGGACAAATTAGAAGCACTCATTGATAAGCACATGTCAACGTTAGGTCAGCAATCCCGTTCCCCCCAAAAAATTTCCATTCACGCTGATATTAATGTCTTCTGAAAGGCGCATCAAAACTTGCTCTGTCGTCTCTGTCATCTGAAGAGCTCTGGGCTAAAAGTGGCCGATTGAATTCTGGTTCTGAGGTATTTTCCATCGAATGATTCTATTGCCATGATCGTAACACTATCAGCTCTTCCGATTAGAAGACCGAAAGGAGGCGAGGTATCTTCTTGCTCCTACACATGAGGAAGAAATCACGGAATTGGTTTCAAACTCGGTCCAATCATACAAAGAACTTCCTGTTCGTTTGTACCAAATTAGTTTGTTCAAATCTTCCATCTTTTCTGTTCCTTGCTCATCCACATTTAGCTCGAAAATATCGTGATGAGTTACGACCGAGGCAAGGACTTCTTCGTTCTCGAGAATTCGTCATGAAAGATCTCTATACGTTTGATTACAATAATACTTCCGCTCTGTCAACTTACGAAGATGTTCGCAAAGTATATCATAATCTTTTTGATGAACTCAAAATTCCATATCTTGTAGCCGAAGCCGATTCAGGAGACATAGGTGGTGACCTCAGTCATGAGTTTCACTTTCCAACTAAAATCGGAGAAGACCATATCATCAGTTGCAGTAAATGCAATTATGTGGCAAATGAGGAGTTAGCAGCAAGCGGATTGCCAAAATTGAATGAGACCAAGAGTTCGCAGCACGAGTTTCGAAAATTGAAGAAGGTTGGTGGGTTCTCTCGTGATGGATCTACCCTTTTTGTCACTTGGTTTTATTCTGAAAATGGAGAGGAGTATGACTTGAACACAAATTTGATTAAAAGACTTTTACCGGACTATGACCCCTCGAGAAAATTAGGACATGTGGAATTATCGCGACTTATCGATGAGGATTTCATGCTCACGAACACATGTCTTAATAAAGCAGAAAAAATCCATATTACTCGTGTAATTAATCTAATTGACCGACGAGTTCCTCTTGAGTTTTCAGAGGCAATTTCAAGGAAGCGAGAGGGGCCCTTTGATTCGTCTTTGAATAAGTATGAGTATTCGTCTTTCTCCCAGGATCCATCTACGGGGGAACCGCTAAATTTGAAGCGTATTACGGAAGGCGACGTTTGTCCCAAATGTCAAGAATCGACGTTGAAAGTAGAAAAGGCCATTGAACTTGGTCATACTTTCCACTTAGGCACGCGATACAGTAAGCCGATGGAAGCCACTGTCACTGTACCTTCTGGACTTGTGGGGGAAAATCTCAAAGCTGAAGAGAATGAACCTCAGCGAGGAGCTAGTGATCAGATACGGGTTCTTATGGAAATGGGATGCCATGGTATTGGTGTGACGAGAATGATTGGAGCAGTTGCGGAAACTCTAGCTGACGAAAAGGGGCTAAATTGGCCAAGAGTTATGGCTCCTTTCGAAATCGTTGTGGTCCCAGGAAAGGGATTGAATGAAGATGCATTGCGGATATCTGATACTCTTTCCGCTGCTGCAATGGATCCAGTAGTTGATGACCGAGAGGTATCGATTGGCTGGAAAATGAAGGATGCCGATTTGATCGGTTATCCGATCGTCGTTTTGCTGGGTAGGAAGTGGAAAGAAGGTCTATGTGAGGTCCAGTGTAGACGGTTGGATGTTAAGGAGGATATCAGGGCTGAGGATTTGAAGAACTTTGTTGGGAAGTTATTGAATCAGCTTTGAGTCAGAGAGGTGTAGTGTACTATAAATTGTGATATATCTCACTAGCATGTGTCAACGATCAACAGGGGCTGATAGAATACTGCCTTATAAGGGTCTTTTTGTTAACTCTAGTATTTTATGTGCTCATATTTTAGACGAGAGTCGAATTTGGGGGCAATTTGTAAAGTGGCGCGTACAAGCACTTGAGTTATAGTTGAGCAATTATTTGGACCAATCATTCATTAGCATCAATCCACTGAACTAACGCGATCAATGGATTCCAGGTAGCCCGCCGGCTACTTGTTCAAGCACCGATTTCGGCACGAGGCTTGCTTTTCTGCCTTTATCCGCATTCTGAGGCGGGTGGATCATGCTATAGTGAATTTCAAACACCGTAGTTGGGATTCAGAAATACCTTCTTTCTATAGGTACCACGAGGTATTCACTCATCCGCTTTCGCAATCTGAGATTATCTTTCGCTTCAAAGGATCTGCAAATTTTCGCTCCATTTGCGATCGAACGATATCATCACACTCAACCTTGTCAACGTTCCTCTCATTTGATTTCAGTAGAGAAGCAACCCTTCCCGGAGCAACAGTCGCACCAGATTACAATTAACCTCGCCAGCTCTACCTCCTCAATAAAATGTATTCACCCCCACGCAAACCCACACTCAAAGTTCTCAGAAACTTCGATCAAGGTAAAGAAGCAGGCAAACAAGCGTATCGCGAGAGCAGAGTAGAGACACTGTTGAAATTCCTGTACTCGGAAGAGTACCGCAAAGGTTATGAAGCAGGTGTAAAAGCAGAAAAGAATCTCGGAATTCCCAGCACCGAAGAATGGGAAGCTGATAGGATTGCCAAAGCGGCTAAGAAAGCCAAGGAGCTCGAGCTATTCAAGGCAATCAGAGAGAGAAAATCGAAAGAAGCTAGAAGAATTAAGGAAGCGATTGAGACTGCTCATCGTGATGCTGTTATGTTTATAGAGAAGTTGGTAGGTCTTTTTGCAGATATAAGTAGACTGAAATAGCGGCTCAAGGGCAGTTGGCTCATTTATTACACGAAATAGATGACTCGCGAGAGCATCGGAAGAGGAGTTGAATAAAACTTTTGGGATGGACATGACCTTCGCAGACAAGGGAAAAATCTTGGAAGGTCATGGGCAGATTCAGGGAGGGCTTGAGCGTAGGGAAGTAAGTATCTATCTCGCTTGTTCGAATTCAGTGGGGGAATAGCTAACATTTGGTAGTAAAGATATGCGAAGGAATTGCTACTGATAAACGGTTGGATTTTCGGGCTGGGAAGACAAAAGTTTGCTAATTCAATGATTCTTCGGGTTACATCGACTCAAGGCACGGAGCCACGAATGGAAATGAACAGAATGACAAATGGTCAATCAATGTAAGATAATAGGGTTTGCTTCAGCCTAAACAAAATAAGAAAGTTCAAGCCAACATGGTTAGAGCAATGATGTTCTGGATACCTTTCCTGCATTACTGCCGTGGTTTGCTAACGGCTTCCTACGCCATTTCAGGCACTGTGAGAATCTCTCGACCAAATTCTTCAAATTTGCAAATATTTCAAGCTCCTCTCCACTTGCAAGTCTCGTGCTCATGGCATGGTTCTTATGTTCTTTCGAGTTAGTCATCCTTGAGTAGTGCAGCGGAGCTCGTTTCCTTTTTGGGCCGCTAGTTGTCTGTGGCACTCGCATTGAAGGAGTTAATAGATAAAACACATGCGAACCAGTGTCTTTTCGACACGTAAGCGCTTGTCAGTTATTAACTCCAAATCATTTTTGAATCTAGAGCTTGCCGTTTGAGAGCTCAGAGTGACGTAGATGTTTGCGTTATTTGAGATTTCAACCGTTCGAAAGTGGGCTAGGTATCCCGTAAATAGGCATACCAGGTGAGACCGACGATGACGTGTAGACCACTCTCTCTATATCCCATACGAAGCTAGTTTCACTCAAGTATTCTGAAAAGCTCGAAATATACTGTCAGACTTGCTTGTGCCCCTGTAATTCACTAATCCTTTTGGTCTATTCATTATTATCTTTGCGTTGAGGACTAGTTTGAATTGCAAAGATTCTCATCGACGTGGGTTATTCGGTGATTAGAACTTTATCGAGTTCTAGCGGTTAGAACATGCGTATACTCAGGGAATAGGTTAGCGGAGAAAATTCATACTAAAGATATGAAATGCAGCTTCCGGATACCTACGCTGTATAATTGTTCATCGCACTCAGAAGTGATAAAGTGAGCCATCACCAGACTCAAAAACCCGTAACGTATTTGCAACAAAGGTTTTGAAAACGTAGAGATTGATTGATTAGTTGATTGGATAAATATGGTATGTGAAAATAAGAAGAAACCGGCGTAGAAACAAACAAAGACAGCGAGTGGTATGTACATCAAAATCATTCTATGGTGCAGCCCCTTCAATGTTGATGGGAGATCTAAATAAGAAAAGGATTGGTAAATCATGCAAATTATGCTAATTTTAGATTTCTGGTGGCATATATGAATTTTAGAAGAAGCCTGCGATGGTTTTAAGAGTGACACAGCATTGCTCAGGACCGCTTTGAGCAGGATTGGTAAAAGTTGATGGCTCTTAAGCGAAGCAAAAATCTTAAGACTCTCTGTGGAGAAGTATTTTGATGTTGCAGAACACAAATGCATTTTCCCTTCACTGTGGTGATACTTGATAATAATCCAACCAATTCAAATCCGAAAGTTGTTGAGTAAACCAAGCATCATTCATCGAATCCATCTGCATACCTGTGTCAAACATGATAATATTATCATTACCAAGGCCTCCATAGGGGACTCCAGGCACAATAGTTGAAGAATCCGGGGGGGTTGACCATTGAGGATTAGTAAAGTCTAGCTCGGCACGTGTTGGATTGCCAGTTATATTTGACTCAAGTGAATTTCCATTTGACGGTTTCGTAATTTCGGCCGATCTTCTTGCTTGAACTTTCTCTTTCAAATTTTCTAAAATGTTTATGGCTCGTTTGGCTGATTGTATTTGCACTTGGTAATGCTCCAGAATCTCAATACATGAAGTCCATGACGTTTCGAAGTAATGTTCGGTGGATAAACTGGCTTGGATCAGCGGAGATAATTGTGCCGCAAGAAGGATAGTTGCAGCAGCGAATGCAACTATTATTGTCAGTACATAAGATTTGAGGGAGATTCCTTGGTTTCCAAGAGCATGGACTGCTGTCAGATGATAACAGGCTTTTGCAAGAAACTTACAATAAACAGTGTGCCATCCTGAGCTACGATACTCCGTATTGAGATTCTCGTGTATAGTCTCTACAAGCAAGTGAGCTGATTTCACACATAATGTGCAAACTCCAATGGCAAGATCTTTCGTTAGTCCAGGCTCGGATTTGGCGAGTATGGCTGACTTTTCCTTAAAAACGGATGCTAAGAGTATGGGTCGTAGGAGTAAGATGCGAACAAGTAAAAACCTGAGAGATAATTTTAGATATTGAATTAAAATCGACAGGCTTTGCGAAATTACCTGCTTCGCAAGACTTTTGACTGTAAAACAACATGAAGTTGGCCCGGTGCGAAAGCGTCGGTCCTAAGTGCAAACGAAGTAACATCCTTGAATATTTGAGGAACACTCTCCCGAAAATCATCGAGCTTCGCATTGATGGTCAATATACTAGCCAGATCACCTACCGACCAAGGATCGAAAGACTTGGAAGAATGGCTTTCACTCTTGCCACCTTGAAATACGTAAAAATTGGAAAGTATTTCATCCATAATGTCGAATAATCTGAGCGAGTAGACAAATAAATTCATCCGAGAATGAACTCCAGATGGTTGAGTTCCCAGAACTTGATGAAAATCTGCTGTTAGATATTGGTCATCGATTATCGATGGCTCTGTAACATCGTAGGATCCGGTTCTAATCATAGTTGGTCGACCAAATGTCATGGCCAGCAATCTTTTTGTAATTAGCAACGAAGGGAGTAAAAGCTAAATAGAACTACAGACCGGTCAAGCAATATACAACAATGCCATACTCTTCGCTTAATCTCACAGCTTAATTGACTGGTCCTATGTGAGTTATTTTCCGTGTTGAGACCTAATCCTTGTGCGGTTCGAATAGCCAATCCAACCACATTCCAACATCTATTTGCATGTTCAGTGGACTGTAAATAAACCCCAGTGAGTAAAAACAATTGAACCAAAGATAATTGTAGTGCATCCAATATCTCAAAGTTCAGTAGCCTTCTCGATCGTCGATATAATTCATCTGCGTAGCTCGATTTTCGTTCCGGAGGAACGTCCTTACTATATTGACATCCCAAAGCAAAAACGAGATTAAGTGTAGCGTGAAAGATTGTTTCGTTCAATTCATCTTCGTCTAATCCTTTTCCCGGCGATGATATCCACAATTTTTCGTAAGTGGCATTGAAACCTTGGAGATCTAAAAGAGGAAATACTGGATGAACGAATTCCCAGTAACATTTCATGAATTCATCAGCCTGTTGACGTTGAGGTAAAATGAAATTTGCAAAATCTTGCTTATGAAGTATTTCTACTTCACCACGTGGTTGAGGTAGGTTATCAGTTGATGGTTTATGCGTTTCATTGATCGGCACTGCTTGATCTGATGCTGCTTGTCGAACTTGAAATACTAATGCAATTGTCGATGATCCTCCGTAAAGAGAATCTTGTGTCTCTGTATCGGAAACCATAGCCAAACCACCAACATTTCCAGGAGAAGTTGCAACCCCTGCAGCTAGACTCGGAGATGAAGTTGATTGACTGACTGATCGAAAGTGAATATTTGGTTTTGGACTACTGATCATTAAAGACTTCCTGAATATCGGAAAATCAGCTGATTGGATACGACTTCATGATGTTGGGACAATTGGAAATATCCAATATCTTAGTTGCATCAAAGAGCCCAAATATTCCGTTATTTCTAATGCGTACATTATGCTTCACGGAATTACCGGTCAAAAAGTAACGCCTTGGTTGTTGGGTGAAATCCAGTGCAGCCGGGGACATTTAAGAAAAACCTACCCAGTGTTGATAGAAGCTTTGGAGCCTACCGTTGCCTCTTCATAAGAGCAACTGTCTTGAACACCTCTTCTTATACATGATGAGCATGAAGGCCGATCACCGTTGCAAGCCGTCTTTCTTTGACGACAAGAATTGCAAGCTAATTGAGTTCTCCGACGTTTACGGGCAGGTTGTTGTGTTTGCAGTTGGTCCTGATTCTGAGACACTTCGGGCACATCTTCGGGGTGAGGGATATCCATGGACGAAGATGGAGAAATGGGATTCGGGGGAGGAAGTAAGAGTGGGGAGGTAAGAGGCAGGTAAGAAGCAAAGTCGATGGGATAATGATGTGCCAAGACGAGGATCACACGTAATAATTGGTGAAGGGGAGGTGAGAATGTGCTGATAACAGCCCTATATATCAATGATATTCTTGATATACAAGATGTATATTGTGAGAAATTAAGAGATATCGAATTTTTGATATTCTTCCTTTACTCCGTAGAAAGTGGAACCAGGTAATCGGTGAGCATCTCCTGGTTTCTTGTTATGATGGTCGTGGTCTCAGTCACATGATTTTACGATTCTAGGTTAGAGCTACACGGGACCAGTCTTTACTATGTAGTAATACTTTCTCTACTTCTATCGAGGCCTATTTGAACGATATTATCAATATACTAAAAATAGAATTCTGTAATTTGTATAACATACTTATAAAAATCTCAAAGAAAATGTTTATATAATATAGTTTTTATATAATTCTATATTATTTAAAATTAATATATAACTTTAAACTCATTTATAAAATGAAAATTAAATCTATTCTATTATTAATTGAATTTTTAGAAATCGAATGATATATATCTTAAGATTTTCTAATAAAAATTAGACTTAATGTTGAATATAATAATATTAAAATTATAAGGAGGTAAGTAATAAGATAAGCAATTCTAATAATTAAAGTGATTTAAATTTTAATAAATTTAATAATAAATTTAATTTCCATTTGAACTTTTTAAAATTCATATTAAGTAATTCTTAAAATTTCAATTGATAATGATATCACCCTTTTCTGAATTTCATACATTTATTTAAAATTATATTTTATTTTAAAAATCGAATAATTAATAAATCAAGGAACTACTTAATTTAGAGTAATATTATTAATTAAAATTAATTTAATTAAATAAAATCGTATTTGCTTAACAAATAAAATAAGAAATAATTTTTTTTAAATCTCCCCTTTTTGAATTTTCTCAATTATTTCAATTTCAATGATTAATTTTGTTAAAATAATTAGGATTAAAATCTTAAAAATAAAATCAATAAAATTCATTCAATTAAAAGTATAACTTTATAACTCAAAATACTGTTCACAATAAAGGAGCAGGCCAGTGGAATGCATGTATTA